GGACTTACTATTAAAGATATTCTTTCTTCATCAGCATCATAGAGAAAAAAATCAAGCATATTAAGCTATTAGTTGTGATACTGCTTAGCAACCATGAACTTTGAAAACTGCTGTTTCTGAAAAACCAGTCATGCAGACATTTTAATTTGAAGGTACTCCATTATACTCCCAGCTCAGTGTATAAATCCGGAGGCTGTACCCACTTTGTGTCAGGCCCTGATTGATGAATTGCTAGTGTTTTAGGTTTTAAACACATAATAGTGAACAAAGGGACAAAATGTTGGACCAAGTGATCTGTAAGAGTTTTACAAGTGCTATCAATGGAGATAAGCCTTCTGCCAGAGCATTTAATTAGCTACATTTGATCATCTAGCCCATGCAGGGAGCTGAGAGTCAGGATATTAGAAGTCAGTTCCTCTCTGTCTTGAAGGGTGTTGTTAGATATGTATCTTCTATCTTCTGAGATGTTTCTGCAACATAATACAGAGTTGACTGGATCGTACTTCAAATTAGCTCTGAATCTGTGACAGCACACGTTTAATATTATCTTGTTTATCTTCTTTTCTTGATTTTTGTGGCGCTTCTTGTTCTTTAGCTAATATATTGATTTCTAATTCAGATTTCTCCAGATTTTAATTACTAATCTGCAATAACATTTCAGAAATGCCTGCTTACCTTTTTGAAGGCCTGTAAGGGCTGAAAGCTGTACAGAGATATTACTTGTTATTTTTAAAATCAATGCCAACTATGGACGTTGTTCACTTCTAAATCCATCATATCTCTGAAAGATATTCAGTGTCACATCCTTGCTTATTCTTAGCAGAAAGTTAACTGACATGGTTTAGAAATGTTTGGCCTTGATAGTTCAGATGTTCTGAATGCTGAGATCTTAATTTGTTGTGTAAACTTAATTTTATTTTTGTGTTAACCATGCTGAATAGCCCTCAGAGTTAGCAAGCGTAGGCCCTTTTTTGAAATTTCAAGGCTTGATTTCCAGCCTCTGAAATGTTGTGTCATCATCTCACTCTGCTCTCTAGAAAAGGAATCACCCGTGATGAATTTCAGGTCAGCTGCTCCTTAACGAGTTGCTTTATGGAATGTGAGGGTGTGAATGGAAATGTGGAACAGCTGTACACAAGTAACTGTACTGATTGGTTCTTCAGATGTGAACCAGCAAATGTTGCTCTCATTAGCTTGTTCTGACGAGCTTTTTGCTTCTCATCCAACTAAACAAAAGCGTTGGCTTGTCCAAATGGAAGATTTACTCTAAAGCCAGATGCACTGATGTGAATGTTTCAGAGTAATTGTTTCCATGTAAAGTCATTCAAATGAACACCCAGCTTTGAGTTTATTATGAATTAATGCTTCCAGGTGATTAATTACCTTTATATTGCATGCTCTGCAATAGATGTTTATCCTTCTTTGTACTGATTATGCAAGCCCCATGCACCAAAGGATTATATCTGCTTGTAATATGTAACAGGAGGTAGCTAAAAATCTCCCATCCTGTGTTTGGGGTAGGAAGGGTTGGAGGGTAGGTGTCAAACTACCACAATTGCAAGGTTTCTCTTTTCCAGCTGCATTATATGTCTCTTTTGAAATGACATTTCCAAATCCTCAAAGACAATGTTGGGCAAGCCAGCCCTTTATATTGTGCTGTTTGTACTTTAATGTTCTGTGGATGCCTTGAAGACGTTACAACAGGACAGCTACGCTTACACAGTGTATTCACTATGAAATTTGATCAGCAGAAAGTAGAAGTCAGGGAGAAACACAAGCCAGAGACAGTTTCAGGAGCTGTTTGGGAAACACCAGACTCTGCAGAACAGTTTCTGGGACTGGGGAAGCAATAGAGGCTGACAGGAGAGGATTGTGCCATGCACCTGGGGCTGCCAGCATGGAGCGGCTGTGAAGTAGGAAGATGACAGAGATGCCTTCACCACTGCATGCACAGAACTCACAAAGTAGCTCTGTCCTTACAGAAGTGTCTGTTTGCCATCACTGGGAATTTTATAACTCCCTTATCCTGCCAGTCAGTTGCTGACTAATTCAGCACATACACATCAGCTAATGAAGCTATTGTAAGGGCAAAACATAGCCATTTCTGTGAAGACATGATGGTTGTGGGCCTGTGACGCTTTGGGAGGGCTTTCACAATGTGGCTTTTCCCAGTGGTGGCATCATCATTCCCTTTTATCCTGAGCCAGTGCTGGCTGTATGAATCACAGAAATTAACTGGTTTTCATCTGCTGCCTAAATAGATGCAGGATGAAAGAGAAGTAGCTGTTTAAACTACTGGAATGTAGATTGCATTGTCAATAAAGTGGCCTGTAGTTTCTCTGAATTACACCAAAATGCTGTATTTTGATAGAAAGATGGTAAAGGTGATGTCAAGAGCTGAGAGGCAGACATGATATTTTTTATGGTTTTGTAAGTTGACCCTTGCAGATTTTGTCAGCTACAGGTACGTAGTATGAGGGAAAGGCATTTACATTGACTCTTTATAAGGATTGCTGTTTTGAAGGTGTCAGTTTTACATGCATCAGTGTTCATAGGAGATAAAAGGCAATTTAAACTGTTGAGAGAGAAGAGTGAAAGGAGACCAATTTGCAATGTCTTGTATATTTCCATTAATTTGAAGTGTCTTAGTTTACAGGCTTTTCCCCTTGTCAAGGTGGAAGCAGCACTCCCTGGGGTGGGAAGGATATAAGGAGAGTGATTGTGAATGAGTAAAACCATACTCAGAGAAAAATGTCATGGAGAGGTGTTGGTGCTCCATGATCCATTGCTATAACAGTGTAATTTTAATGAATTGTATAATGGAAGCTGACTCAGGAGTCCCTGAGATCAAGATCTTTCTCTAGCTTTGTGGTGTGCTGATGCTGTGTCTTCCTAATTCTCAGTTAGTTGTTACTTTCACAATTCTATTTATTTTCCAGATGACATTTAGTCTATAAGTAAAATAAAATGAAGAATGGTGCTTCCTGAAGCTGTGTGTGTCTGTAAGGTGGCTGTCCCTCAGAACATTAGGGTCCACTTTCAGTGGCTACCTCTACACTTCCATTTCATATTCCTTCTCTCATGGCAATGTTGCCTTTCAATCTGCCAAAAACATGTTAGGGATGTCAGTGCTTGAAACCTACAACCTGTAGTTTGTCTAAAGAGTTGGAAAAGCACAAAAAATAGTGGAAATTAGAAAGTACTTAAGTGAATACTTAATAGTTAAACTAGATTGGAAGGGGCAAAGAGACAAAAACAGGTTTGATATTGTACCAGGTGAGGATGAGATTCAATATGAGAATAAAGTTCTTCACCCAAAGTGTGGCTGGCACTGAAACAGGCTCCCCAGGGAAGTGGCCTCAGCACTGACCCTGACTGAGTTGAAGAAGTGTTTGGACAACACTTGCAGGCACGGGGTGTGACTCATGGGGTGTTCCTGTGCACAGCCAGGAGTTGGACTTCAGTGGTCCTTGTGGATCACTTCCACCACAGGCAAGTCTATGTTTTCATGATTCTCTGAATCCCAGTCTGATAAAACTCTCTGCGACTTTTTTTGATTGAGAGATGTCTAGATTTAATTGTTTTGTAAAAGAATTGGATCTGGCTTTCAGTGCAATTGACTTTGATCTTCTTTTTCTGACTTCTGTTTTTTTGTGTGTGTATGCAAGACCTGATTTTTGGGGTTTTTTGAAGCTTTCAAAAAAATCTGATCCAAAGGCTTAAGACTGTCACTAACAAGTCCATTCTCTTTCCTGTTTCCCTCCAATAAGAATAATTTTGTGATTCACAGTCTGTCTTAGCAGTTGATAGATTAATGTAGTTGGAATAGAAATGTTGTGGGGACTTCTGTGTTGGTTGATGGAGTAGAAAAGTTTGAATGCAGAATTAGATCATATAATTTAGTGGTAGTGCAACCAACAAGGACTTCAAAATTGCCAAGAGATTGAGTACATACTTCTAACTCTACCTGATATGCCCAAACAGGGGGTTAGTTAAAAGGGGAAGAGAACAGTTTTACATGTTTTGACTCCCTAGTCCCCAAAGTGAGATTCTTCAGTTAAATATTACCACTGATTGGGATGACTGGGTCACAGTGGGACGTCAAAGGAGAAAAACAGTTTCTCATTAATCTGAGAAACTGTAGAAGCTAGTAGAAAATACATATAGAGAAAATAATTTTGAAAACATTGAATGCTTCAAAAGGCAGCTTAATATGTTAGATTTCTCTGGGATTTATTAGTCAGCTTTCCTTGATTTCTGATTTGACAATTGATCATCTCTAATTTGTTACAGGCAACACATGACAAGCAGTGTAAGAAAAGTATTTTAGCTACTACTTTAGCTTTTTAGGCTTCTTTTCCCATAGACATAATTTTCTGTTTGACTTTTTGCTTGACTTTTAACAACTAAGTCTTCACAAACCTCCTGAAAGCAGCAACAGGAAGAGGAGAAAGACAGATGATGTATTTCAAAGTAGGTGACTTCCAAATGATGTTGGTATTAGTCTTGCTTTGGCTTTGTTTGAGAAATAAAGAAGCTGGTTCTGAGAAACCAAGAAGTTAGAATATTGAACTAGAGACTGCAAATACCAAAGGAGAGACTGCAGAGATAAAACCAGATTGCCATCAGCCTACATTTCCCCAAAGGCATATTTTTTACATATGTGCTGAAATGTTAATTGTTCTTTTAGCTCCTATTCCTCTTCATGCAGACAAAAGCTTCATATATTTTACTTACTGCACAAGGGAAAATCCCTGCAGTCCACTGTCTATATTGTTAAATAAAGTAATTCAGTTTGATTGGAGGTTTAGTTAAAACCACATTTGTTCAGCTTATGAATCAAACAAGATTCCAGGAGAGGCAAAGGTCTTGTCATCTTGTATCACGGAACTTACCCATTTTATGATCACTTCAGCTTTTCAGCAGGACTGTTACTCAGAAAGCACTGTGCAGAAAAGGCAGTTCTTTTGTAGAAGAAATTGGTTGCTACAGCAGTTGAAGATCCTTTAGGTCATCTGTATTTCATAAACACCATAGGAATAATGATGTTTAGTCATTACACTGAAATTTTAATTCCATACTTCATCTTTTCTGCTCAATATTATTTTCTGTGTGTCATTAAAGTGGGCCAGAGTCTTAAAAGGAAAATACCATCTGCCTGAGTTTATCAAGAGAAATAGCAAAAACTCTCCATGTTGGAAGACAGCAAAAAATTAAAACAATTAATTGAGTTCGTAATCCGTATTCTTTTTTATTTTTTATCTTGTGTCATTCTCCTTACTGCTCAATTTTACATGGAAGTTACACTTTTGTGACCAGAAATCCCCTTTTGTTCTGCATTTCATCTGACATTCTATTTGTGTTCAAAGTCTTTAATTAAATATTAGGACAACTGCGTTAGTAAAGATACTGCTTCCTTTTCCCCTTAAAAAGTATTGGATCAATTTCTTAGTGTTCTACACCAATTACAGTCATGTTGCAGTGTCCAGCAGATGGCTTGAGTTCATCAATAATTCACTGAAACTGCCATGGGTTTAAGGAAGGAGCTGTACCACACTGACATATGAGAGAGGAAGAAAATTCAGCACATATTTTAGCAACAATGTTTTTTTGGACAAAGAGGAAATTGCAAAATTTATGCTCCCAGATATATAGATTGAGCATACAGTTTGCTAATGTAAGACCTAGGATTGTTTATTGGACAAATAACATGCCATAAGCATGCAGTATATATTCTACATTTGTATGCAGGCATTTGCACATGTTTCTATGTATGTGTGGAGAGAGAGGAATATGATTCATAAAGCTCTATTATAATGGATTTGGGATTTATGCGTTACTTAGAAACAAGATCCTGAGGTTCTGCAGCTCATGTTACCCAAAATCTTATCTTAACATTTTACACGGTTTGTCATGACCATTTTACGTGGTTTGTACAGCCAAGCTGTTATGAGTTGCTTAGGCAGTTTTAAAATATTTCTTTGAAACATTACCCTTATCTCTACTGAAAAGTTATAAATACAAGGTGCAAATTCTACCATGCCATTGTGATTCTCTATAGTAGAAAAAAAATCATGTTTCATTTCTTTTTTTGCAAGAAAAATACATGATAAAATGGGGAAAGATGTGGACAGAGGGATTTTTATAACATCATTTTGTGACTATTACTGGTTTTATGGGTTCATAGGATATACAGGTTACCTATGGGGAGAGATAGGGAGAGATACTGGATATATTTTGCCAAAGATACACAGTACACTTAAATGGATCCCCCTGGAGACTGTCTCACCTACAGAAGAAGCTGTTATCATGAGAATTTTGTAAGTAAGGCAGCAACATCTGGGACTCAATTTCCTGTGAGATACTAAGGAGTTCAGGAGGGCAGAGCTGGAGGTCATGGCAAAGCTGGTACTTAAGGATGATAAAATGAGCACGTCATAGAGCAGGTTGTATTGGAATGGACCTTAAAGATCATCTAGTTCCAACCTCCCTGCAATGGGCATCTTCCACTAGATCAGGTTGCTCAGAGCCCCTTCCAATCTAAACTTGAACACTGCTAGGGATGAGGCATCCATAGTTTCTCTGGGTAACTTGTTCTAGTGCCTTACCACCCTGACAGTAAATTTCTTCTTTGTATTCTAAACATATCTTGTCTTAGGTTGAAAACTCTTGTCCTATTGCAGTATTGGCCCAGCTAAATAGCTGGTCCCCATCTTTCTAAGAGGCCTTCTGTAATTTACTGGAAGGTGCTGTAGGGTGTTCCTGGAGCCTTCTCTTTTCCAGGCTGAAGAATCCCAATTCTCTCATTCTGTCTTATTAGCAGAGGTTCTCCAGCACTCTGACAATTTTTGTGACTCTCTCTGAACCTGCGTCTTCACACCTCTAGCTGATGGAACCACCGTCATGTGGCAATAGCTGGTGAAATTCCAGAAGTTCAGAAATTTAGGGAAAGGAGCTCTGAAAGTTGTGTGCTGGCATTACAAGGGAGGTGCTGTTTCCCAGTGTAGTGTGTTGAATATGGCCTCTGGTAGTAAAAACTGTTTCAGAAGAAGGCTGGCCAAGGTGAAGTGCAGAGTGCCTGTTGCTCAGAGCAAGTAGATTAAAGCTGGTATCGAGACCATTCCTCTCTAGATCCCCTTGGCTAACATAAGGAAGCTCAGCCTAGGGTGAAACTATCAGAGACTGTTAAGATACAGCAGTTCATGCCTCAGCTTGCCATGGCATTAAATAATTCATTGAATCTGACCTTTCAGAGCAGTACACTGTAGCTAATAGAATGAATATGAAATGGATATAAAAAGAATAAGAATATCAAGTGGGAGTAGGGAGGCAATATAAATTTTATATATAATCATAGAAGGTCTGCAGTGCTGTCTGTTCCTGAAAGTGTGCTGGTAATTGGATGTAGTTTGGGAAGAGCAGCAAAAATTAACCACAAGTTTCCCCTTTTATGAGATTCATAAGAAACTCAGCCTTGTTAGCTTGCTGCAGGACAGATCAAGACAGATTTACCTGACCAAGGACAAATTGAAATAGCAGATATCTTTTCAGCTTGCTAAAAGAAGTCCAGTCTAGTCCTAAGAAATCACATTATGAGCAGTAAGAGATAGAGAGAACTGTGGTCATTCCTCATAATTTCAAATCTTTAAATTATAAACTTTTATCTGTTTGGAAAGATGTGCTATAACTCTAGCATAAGGCCTTTACAAAACATCTACCAGCAACACTTAGCCAGGAAGTTTGTGCTTGGACCAAGTCAGATATAAGTTGTGTGTTGGTCCTGGATCTGTGAGTAGTAAGACTGCTCTGTCTGATACCTGAATCTGGGCTTTGAGGAGTTGAGTAAACTGCACTTACTCCTTTGGGACTATCAGTCCTTTTTGGGAAGATGTGAGTTTTCCAGGAAGGAGGAAAAATGAGTAGCTCTCTCTCACAGTAGTAAATTTCTGTTCTTATGCTCTTGTTCACTGTCACCCATGCTTGTGTTCTGTCTACCTGCACTTAGTGCTGCACAGAGTTTTTCAAAGGCTTGCCCATAAGTCTCAGGATGTCTCCTGTCTTGCAGCCTCACCAGATACTGGTGCTACACAGGACATGATTTTTTTTCAAAATTATTTTTCACTTTCTTTCTTTTATTTGATTGGTGTTTTTGTTTGGTTCTTGGTTTTTTTTGAGGTGTATATTATTTCACTGGAGCTCATGACCTGTTTTTTTCAGTGGAAGTCAAATACAGAATGACACGGAGTTACTTTTCTGTTACCCAATGCTGAACATACACAATTTACAGTGTATTTCAGTACTATTTCTTTTTTTCTGAACTGAAATTCTGTTTTGACAAGTATAGCTCTGAATGTCAGAAACAGTAGGAAGAAGTAATAATTTCATTTGGTTGTACTGTAGTCAAAAATATGGCATGATTGCCTTAATCTGATAGGATTTACTGATGTAAAACTTATTTTTTATTTAAGCAACAGTTTTTTTTACTAATTGCTTCATTAGAAAGATGATGTTTTATCAAAGGGCAGTGTGCAGTAACTTCTTTGCATAGCTATGTACTGTATATTTTATAAATATTTTCATATTCTACTCTTCAATATATTCCACAGAAATTAGTCTATTGACTAAATACTAAACTTGAGCAAAATATTCTAATATTTGCTTGTGTAAGTATTTTATAGATGCTTTTGAACAGTTAAATTGTTTCAAGAAAAGAATATTTGGATTTTTAATTGTCTGTCTTCACAGTACTCTCCTCATGATGGATTACCAACATCTCTATGAGAATTTTTTTTTAGCTGCTGCTTTAGAATAATTATAGTACTTTTGTTATGTATGTCATTAACAATGAGGAGAAAAAAATGCTCTTATCAAGGCTGTTCATTTAGATTTCTAACACATGAGGCAGGTTACCATGAATTTCCCAGTAGGTGCTCATAGTGAACCACCAATGGACTATTTTGTTATTTCAAAGAAGGTAATACTATTATAAACATGGACTTTTATAACTAGCTTAATTTATAAAGACAAACATCAGTGGCTCTTCCATCAAAAATACATTTGTTAAGATAATTGTTTAGCAATACTCTTGTAAATGGAGCAATAAAACACATCATTTTATAATTATTAAGAATAATACAGAGAAAGTAATAGTGTTGTTTCAATCTATCCAGCCAGTGCCAGATCTATTGAAACTCCTGGGTGTTAAACAGTCAAGTGCAAATAAAGCAATGCTACAGCTTTGTAAATTAACTATTTTTTGTTTACTAAAGATGCATGGTGGATTTGTTTTTGCAGGCATAGAGAGTAATGCCTGGGCTTTTTGTTTAAGGACAGCTCTAAACATGATGAATATTTTGTATATTGATGTGTCCATAAATATATATGCTAAAATACATACTGCCTACTTCTAGAAATGCTTATAGTTTGCTTTCTGACAAGAAGTCCCTACTTCCTTAAGGCTTTGTTAATGGAAAATTTGACAAAGGTGTTTAAAAAGTGGCAGAAAAGGCCTTGCTTTGCTGCCTGTTGTGCTTTTGTGTGTAATTTTCCTGGGATGGAACAATGGAGCAATGTTCATCCTCCAGGAACATGGCTGATCCAAAGCCTTCTGAAGATGATGGAAGTCTTTTGGTGGATTTCAGTGGGGTTTGAATCAGACTGTTTAATTATTATCCCATGAATTGCTTGTAGTGATTCTATTTGTAGCCTCCTAATTTTATGATACAGCTGACAAATGGTAGAATAACAGGATTTAATAAAATGTTTCCCTATTTGATCTAGGGTAGTTCAAGGGATATGCCATTCCCAGTGATGCCAGCCTCTGCAGGTCCCTTTCCCATCACCCTCCCTTCTCTGAACTCTGTGCTTAGTAAGGCACCGTTCATTTTTTTTTCAGAAAACACAACATGAAAATTTGATATTTCAAGTAGACCAGACCCATTCTTAAGGTAATGCTATATGTTGCCAAACAAAAGCATAGAGGGAGAGACATTGGAGGAGTTTTTAGAGAATAAGGTTTTATGACAGTAGAAATGACAACAAATGGCAGTTGTAAATAAATCATAGAATTGTAGAATGGCCTGGCTTGGAAGGGACCTCAAAGATAATCCAGTTCCAACTCCCTGCCATGGACAGGTACATCTTTCCACTAGACAGAGGTTGCTCAGAGCTCCATCCAACCTGGCCTTGAACACTTCCAGGGATGGGAGATCTACAGCTTTCCTGCACAATCTATTCCAGTGCCTCAGCACCCTCAGAGTAAAGAATTTCTTCCTAATATCTGGCCTAAAGCTACTCTCAGCCATTGCCCCTTGTCCTGTCACTACATGCCTCTCTCCATCTTTCTTGTAGGCTTCCCACAAGTCTTGAAGGCCACAATCAGGTCATCCCAAAGCCTTCTCTCCAGGCTGAACAATTCCAATTCTTTAAGCCTTTCGCCACAGGAGAGGTGCTCCATCTCTGATCATCTTGGTGGCCTCCTCTGGACTTGCTCTAACAGGTCCATGTCCTTATAGTGCTTGGGTTCCCAGAGCTGGATGCAGCTGTTCATGAGAACAGAGGAGCAGAATCTCATCCCTCACCCTGCTGGCCACGCTGCTTTTGACGCAGCCCAGGCCATGTTTGGCTTTCTGGGCTACAAGTCCAGGTTAAATCCAGCCTCTCATCTGTAGCCCCCAGGTCCTTCTCAGAAGGGCTGCCCTTGATCTGTTCATTCCTCAGCCTGTAAAGGAAAACATATAGAGGTTTAAAACGCTTGTATTTGTTCTGTGCCTCAGTGCAATGGTCTGTGTACTGACTTTCCTACCATTTTTTTAACTGCATCACTTTAAGTTTGAAGTGATTTCACATCAGCCTCTCTGGGGCAGAGTGCAGGGGCTCATGGGTTGCACCTGAGAGCTATCATAGTTTGCAATAACACCCTTCAACATCACTTGCTAGCTACAACAGAAAAAAACTAGTGGATTTTTTTTTATGTAGGAGCTGAAAAAAAAGCAGGCATTTTGAAGCAGGCACTTTCTCTGTTTCTTTCATGAGTCCAAGTTAAACTGTTAGGTAATTCATTATGAGTTATGGTATTCAGGTGAATGGACGAAAAGTCCCAGTGTTGTTTCAGTGGAAAAGCATGGTCTTCTTGACTGCAGAAAATATAAAATCATGAGCTCAGAAAGACCAAGAATGCAAGAACAGAAGATAGAAATTTATCATAGCTGGCATCATGGCTTTGAAGTCACAGTAGGCTTTGATGCACCATTATTTAATGCATGAGTTTGACAGCACTGAGATAATTTTTCTGATATAAATCAGTGCATCTTCTTTTCACTGATGCTGTTTTACTATCAAAAGAGATTAGAGGGGGAGAAAAGGGTGATTGTGCCTTTGCCACATCCCTCCTAATTTTGTCTTCATCCTCTTCCTCACAAGTTTTATGTGCATTTTGACCATTTATCTGATGGATTGTAATAACCACCTTTATCTGCATTATCACTACCATCTTCTCTGTAATAATAGAAAATTTTTGAAATCAAATTTCATTGTTTTTCATGTTTCTGCTTTTATTTTCTTTGAGTTAGTTGGTTTAATTTTCCAGGTATCAGTACAGTGCTAGAGATGAAAATACAAAGCAGGCTGAATCAGAAATGCCTGTTTCAAATTCTGACCTATTAAATTAAAACTTCAATAAGTAAAATAAAATATGTTGTTAATTGATAACACCCTTCTTTACAGCACATATTGTCACGTGGTTTGCAGTGAACTCATTTTCTTTCCTGAACTAAGCATTTTGTGCAGAGAAAGTTCATTCTATTCAGAACTTACCTTCCATATAACAAATACATTGGTGTGATTGCTGAAGATCAGGAGAACATTGATGAGTAGCAAATGTCAACAAAAAATGTCAATACTGTCTGTACTGGATAACCTCTGAATGTGAACATTATTACAAGCTTTATGAAAAAGTTAATCACTTGGAAGAGTAAAACAACCATTTAGGAACCACCAAGCCCAAACAGATCTGACATCCTTTATTGCTGCATGTTGTATTTGACAGACCTGGCTCCAGTTTCAGAGAAATGTCAGAGAGACCACACAATGACTTGTGTATAGAATATTCTTCCTTGGGGAAGATCTGTTTCTACAATCCTTTTAATTAGAAAAAGCATAAGCACTTTTTCTCCTCCCTTGATTTTTACTGCACTTTCCACAACAGTTGTGAATTTTCTCTAAAAAGCAGCACAATAAAAAACTAGAGGTTCTGTAGGTTCTTCCCTTCAGTCATCATTGCCTGCACACATAATCAAAGACCTTCATGAATATATAAAATATGGCTTTTTTCAAGTGGAAACTCTAGAGTAATCATTGTCCTTCCATTTCCCTTGGAATGGGAATGACTGTGTGTGGATCTCACTGTGGATCTCACCCTTACTCTGCAAAGGGAAAGGACTCTTACATTTCCAGAGTAGTATAATTTTCCAAATTACTTCTTAATAATGGGTAGATGGAGAGGCAGTAAATGGCATCTGAAGCAGCCTAGGACACAGGAAGAAAAGACTGCAGCTTGGAGAGGAGTCATCCCTTCTTCCCATGCTCCCATAGCGAGCTCGGGGAGGCAGCTCAGGGAGGGTGACTTTGCTTTCACTGCCTCTCCAAGAGGCAGCCCTTTGGGAGTGAGATGAAAGGAGTGGCAGGTCTAAGGTCATGTCACAGAGCTGTAGGGATCCATAAGCATCTCCAGTGGCTGGCTTTGAGTAACAATGACTTTGTTGTGCAGGCTGTTGCAATACACAGGGCCTTTGGGACACCTGGAATTCTTTGTCCATGCACAGAACAGAAAGAGGTCTTTAGGCTCATGGAAGGCACTGCTTTGATGTACGAGGTGGCAGCAGCAGCACTGTGAGGGAAGTACAAAGTCACCACCACATGTTCCAGAATGCTGAGGTGTGTCAGGCTGACTGAATAGGTTAATGATACTGGCAGCAGCAGCATGCAGAACAGCAAAGCAAAAGTTGAATATTTGGTCTCAATGAATGGATGAATCAAAGAACTAGGAGAGTGGATTGTGGGTTGTTTATAATTACCTCTAAAAATGTGAGTAGTATGTCCTCCAAATGGTGAATTTACAGATTTTGAAGAGCAGATCTCCTTCACAGGTGACCTTCCTGAAACTTTCCTTTTGGAGTTCAGATCTTTAGAAGAGCCATGGGGAAGGTATAACCTTTGAACAATTCTTTGGAAGCTGCAGCTGGGTAGAGAGCAGAGGGAGGAAAATAAACAAAATAAACCCTCTCAAACCTCTCTGATCTGCCTCCTCTACTTTTTGTTTTAATGAATAGCTTTAAGAGTGTGATTCTATAAACATGCTTCTCTCCCCTGCCTCTTCCTTATATGCTTTTGTGGCTGTTGATCCTTTAGATAAAGAGCTTTTGCCCTGAGATTATCTTTTAGTTAGGATAGGACAGAATTAGGGAATGAAAATATATTGAAAATAAAAAAAGACAACAAAAGAAAAAATTAAGAAAGGATTTGCAAGGTTTAAAAGATTTCTAGTAGTTGGGTTATTTTTTGTAGAATAACAGATTAGTAAATTTGAACCATTTTTTCATTATTTTTATTATTCTCTTGCCATGTGTGACAAGGAATTAGTAACATGCATGTGGGCTATTTGGTGTCTAGTTAGGGTTGCAGGTGATAAAAATGCATCATCAGTGTCCTGTAACCTCCCTGTTTAGATCTTGCTCTTGCTCTCATCCTCTTTTTGCTGACTTAAAGGCTAAAATTATGCCTGAGAACTCATAACTATTCTCCTCGCTTACATATATGCAAAAAACTACTGACTTGTAGATGTAAAGAATCTGCCAGACAATACTCATGATTTGGCACTCTGGCATTAGCAGTAAATGTAATTTTGAAATAATAATTCCATTTTATTTTTTAAAATCACATTTGCAGTCTAATTAGACTAAAAAAAATACTTTGTGACTACATAATGAAGAATATTATGTCCATTGGAACATAGAGATACAGTGATTTCTGTCAGACTCAATTTTGACAAGTCTATTTTTAATCTTCAGGTTTGACCTATTGCCCTTAAAGAACATATATCCTTCCATGCTAAATCCACTCCTATGTCCCCTTTGAGAACTGACTTTTAATGCACGTCCTTGGATCAAGGAATTTATTCTTGCACAGATAGGTTGTTGTCAGTGTGTACAAGTGAAGCCGATTTTTGAAATGCTTTTTTTTGTCCTTATCTCATGATTGCAGCTGAAGTGAGGGATATTTGTGATGCCTAAAGTTCATGAACTAGCTTTAAATGAAAGTCATCAACATACTATGGATGAAACAGAAGTACAAGCTGTTAAAGAGGAAAATAGGATGTTCACCCAGGAGAAATCTGCAGACCCCAAAGGTTGTTCTTTATAGGAGTTATTCTGTAGGAAGGGCACTTTCATGCTGCATACTTCTAAAACTTGGTTGTTTACATGGCTAATACAGGATGCATTTTTATGCAGCATACCATGAGTTGGCTCAGACTACAAGAGCAAGCCCTGCAGTATCACCAAAGGCCAGGTAGCTGTCTCAAGGTGCCTAAAAGCCTGTGTGCAGCCCACAGAGCCTGTTGTTCTTTTTGTGTGTTTGACAGGCCAGGGTAATTTCTGAACAACAAAACTTCTCTCACACCTGATTGAAAATTCACCTTTATGATCTCCAACTCTTTAAAACCAGGCCTTTAGCCCAACTAGCTGCCTGTAACCTTGCTGAGGTTGGGAGAAGCCATTTGCAGCTGTCCCTCTGATTTCAGAAAGCATCTAGAGAAGTGCTTTGAGCTGTGGTACCTCATGTCCTGAGACAGCTTGAGGTGAATCTCCTGTTTGGATGGGTGCGGGGGGCGGCTGGTCGTGCTGGCTGGACCAACAGAGCCCCTCGGGTGGCATCTCTGACCTGGGCTCATTCGCAGCTCACAGTGGGTGCCTCCGTGTTCCGTCCCAGAGACGTGAGCGCCCGGGCGATGCTCACGGCCCGGCTGGCTCCGGGCGTCGGCCAGAGGCGGCAGCGGCGTGAGCCCCTCGCCCCTTCGCTGCCATGGCTGCTGCTTGACACGGCAGAGCAGCTGTGCCGGGAGCGGGGCCGTGCCGGGAGCGGGGCCGGGAGCGGGGCCGTGCCGGGAGCGGGGCCGTGCCGGGAGCGGGGCCTGCCGGGAACAGGGGCCGTGCCGGGGGCAGGGGCCGTGTCGGGAGCAGGGGCCGTGAGCGGGGCCGTGCCGGGAGCGGGGCCGGGGGCGGGGCCGTGCCGGGAGCGGGGCCGTGCCGGGAGCGGGGCCGTGCCGGGGGCAGGGGCCGTGCCGGGGGCAGGGGCCGTGCCGGGAGCAGGGCCGTGCCGGGGGCAGGGGCCGTGAGCGCGGCCGTGCCGGGGGCAGGGGCCGTGAGCGGGGCCGGGAGCGGGGGCCGTACCGGGGGCAGGGGCCGTGCCGTGAGCGGGGCCGTGCCGGGAGCAGGGCCGTGCCGGGGGCAGGGGCCGTGCCGGGACAGGCTCTGTCTGTCCCCGCCGCCGCCGCTCTCAGCCCCCAGTGCAGGGCGGCGGCTCGGGCACTCCTGCGGGCTGCAGCAGCAGCGCCCTGTCAGCCACACGCCGAGTAAATACAAGCACACCAAATAAATTACGTACGAAATACCTATGAAATCAATTCAGCAAGTCACATCGAGTGACTTCTTCTTTATCCCCTACACCAGTACGCATCTTCCCTCCTACCACCTTCTGGCTGCAGCTCTGTGCTGAGTTACGTAATCACCTCCCCCGTGAACAGCTTCCCCCTGTTTTCCTGAAGAGCAGAGTTGTTTCACTGTCCTTTGCTTCAGCCCTGGCTGTTACCCGCAGCTCCTAAAGAGCGGGAGAGGACAGGGATAAAATGGTTACTTTTCAGGGTTTTTTTTGGTTTGTTTTTTTTTTTTTTTTTTCCCTGCGGCGCAGAGCGTGGCGACGCTGCGAAGGCGGAGGGCTGGGGCACGGATGGCTCCCGTGTGAATCGTGTCCCCAAGCGAACTTGAATCTGCCGGTGCGGGTACCGAACATCGGCTTGGCTCGGCAGGCGGGGGCGGTTTTAGAACCGATGCTGAAGAGACTCGCATCGTGTTTTTACTGCTGGTGTTACCCATCTAGACTAGAGCTCGCATCTCTGTGTCCGACTGCACTGCAATTATGTCTTCATTTTCTGTATGGATAGAAGAATGCAACCATTCCGCATTTTATGCTTGGTTTGAGTCTTCAGGGCAATTTTCTTCTCCCCTTTTCAAACATTCGTTCCCCCTCTATAATTTACAGTATATTTGCATTTATCAGGGAATAATTTCTGCTTAAGTATAATTTAAGTCTTATCTTAACGACCATGTTTATGAGCAGCATATATTTGCTTTGAAAGTTTTCAGAGATACTCATACTAGTGATTTTTTGTCCCAAGAAAAATGTAAAAAAATGATATATTGTTCTAGTGATACATAAAAAGGGAAAAAAATAAAGGATATAGCAGCATAAATGCATTTTTAGGTTAACTAGCATAAATTATTGTTGTAATTATTAAATTAAAATTAATAATATGATTTTGAAGGATTGGAAAAAGCTTTAAAGAGCATAGATTTTTAAAGTTACATCTAATTGCTTTTAGCACAATAAATAAATTTTTCCTTTAAATAAATTTTTAAAAAAGGACATGAACCTTTGAATTTGAAGCATTCCAGATATATGGTATATATACTTTTTCATTCATACATATTCATGGCAGGACTTTTTAATAACTAATACAATTTAACAGGAACAGGTGGTTAATTGTCTGGCAGAAGTTCTGTCTCAATTTCTTCTCCTGTCAGTCTACTTCTTAAATGAATTAAATAATGTTGAGGATATAAATATAACTAAAGAGTTTGCACTTTGGGGCTGCTGCCTGAATTAATGTCCTGTGTGGATGGGAGCTTGAGAAGGTAGCCCCTTTGGCTGCTCCTCCAAATCATTATGAAATCACGTTTGCCATCATTTATACTGTTCCAGTGGCACATGGATAAGTCTTTGGCATCTGACCAATCAATTTTCTATTCCAGAAGCAGTAAGCAAAAATCATTCTGCATTAGTCTCTGCAGCTCAGTATCCATCAACTGTCTAACCTTGCAGATATAATGATAATTACAGTAATACTAGTAATAAAACCCACAATGCTCAAAACACTGCTGAAACTTTTCTTAATGAGGAATTTAATGAATCTTATTTTGTTTGAACATTTACTTTTTAAAATCATTTCCAGCAACCTGCAATTACTTAAAACATTATTCTAGCATTGTGTTCCATAACAAAGGATTAAGATGGTCTTAGATTGGATCAGATAGTTTGGTCCCAAAAAAGCAGATAAGACTGAAAAGCAAAAGTAATAATGTTCAGACGTCTGAAAGAAAAATACCATCAGTCTTTGAATGAATGTGGATTTTTTTAAGAAACAATGATAAAGCAAATAATATTGAACTGAGAACAGTATATAATATAGTGATTGAAAATAAAGTATTCTTCAGAATTCAAGAGCTTTATCTGGTTTCTGATTGCATCTTCCTCTTCTTAATTTCTTTTTCTTTATTGGGTGAATTACCTTGAGCTAAGATAACGCTGTGAAGGACTTCCAGCGCAACATAACCCTAAGTGAATGTTATGCATTATTAATAAAAACTCAGATAACTCTCTAAAACAAGATGATCCTAAAGCATTTAACATTTAATCAGCAAAATTTATCTCATGTTCTGCTTTTTGTAAAGCATTCAAGGAAAGAAAAAATTTAATAGTTTCAGGAATGAAGGATGTGTGTGAATACCTGACCTTTCATTACTACATACACAATGCCCAAATGTGAAAATGAAAATGCCAGTGCCGTAGAGATTATGAATAGCAGCTGTAATGGTTTCTAATTCTTCAGTACAAATGAAAATGAAGCTCTGATCATAAAAGATTATGGTTAATTTGTCACATAGTAAAAATATCTGTAAGATTTTCTCATCTTTAGTGATCTTTCATCCTCTTTAACATGTAACTCCCATAAATCTCTTTTGCAATTGTACAGATTCTGGCATTGCTCGGCTATAGTTTGTGACATCTTCAGCTGTCTTTTCTTTTAGTTTCTTATTTCAAATTTGAAGTATAATTCTAGAGTATGTGATTTCCTTGTTTCTCAGCAAGGAACAACAAGTCATACTAGTGTTTCTTTTAATTCATTGATATTATTATTTATTCGAGGTGTTTGGTATTAGACAATGCATTTTATTAAATAATTGTTTTTATTGCTCTCCAAAAATTTTTTTTATTAGCTGCCATAGTATTTAGAATATACAGTACAAAACTATACAATATACTGCTTCAGCATGTATGGTAGATCATCTCTGTCCAAAGTATGTCCATCTATGTCAAAAATCAGAGTAGAGGAGAAATGGTTGGGAGAATATAAGTGCTAATGAAGCAATATTTGCATTATATTAGTATCAGTATATAAATTGCCTGAGTTTTGTGAAGGCCAGGCAGGCAAACAAGAGCTCTGCTAGAGGCAGTGTTCATTGAGGAAGACAGCAATATTGCTTTTCCTGCTCCAGAAGATGCTGTGGCCATCCCAGCAAGGAGACTTTCCTTCAAATCCATGGGCAGTCACTCTCCAGTCCAGCTTTGGATTGATGGTTTGTAACAGCAGAGCTGCACTTTGCTTGTTCGATCATCAGTGTACTTTTAACCTGGGCACAGAGTTACATTTCTGCAAAAATAGCCATTAGCTGTACCATGAAGTTTTTCTTGACTAAGTTTTTCTAAGCTAAGTTTATGTGGTATTCACGTATCCTTTGAACAGAGAGAGACACAGAGTTTCCCAGAAAAATCCTGAGTAAGGCTGTGAAAAAGCTCAGAGTAAGAAGAAAAACGATTCTTATCTTCATTTGCTACATCTGTTGTTTGGCATATGTGGAATGTGCTATGGAGATTGTTTACCAGAGAGGGATTTCTTGATTGGACTCTGGTGATGGTGTTTGGATTTCATTTGACCAATTGGAACCACACTGTGTCAGGACTGTATGTAAGAGTCACGGGTTTTTCTTTAGTATAGTAGTAGTACAGTTTTTCATATAGTGTAATATAGTATAGCCTAATAAAGCTTTTGTTCAATCTTATGCAAACATGGAGTCAATGCTAATTATTACCCAACAGGGACCCCTGCTACAATAGATTTTAAGCTGCTCTACCACTTAAAATTAAGAGAAATAGCCCAGCACAATTTATCTCAAAACTTTCCCTTCTCATGGAGCATATCTACTGCATCCAGACTAGAGAAAAAAAATTATTGAGTAAAGTGATGATTATTGTCTTCTAACGTAGTGTCAGCAAAAACAGACATTAAAAATAAGCCATCAGAAGACAGAAATTCTTTCTAAATGAAAATTTACACAGCATCTCTTTGAAAGAAAGAAGATGAAATCAACAAGGCTTCATTATGTGAATGTTAGAATTATGTTTACTCCCTGAAACATCCTTTTCAATTGCTAGATCATATCAATAATCTCTGTATTATACTGAGATAAGTGAATGGAGTAACACCAATTTCCATGGTTTGAAAAGTTGTCTCATAATACCCTTCAGCTTTAACCTTCATTATTTTATCTGTTTCCACTATTGAAACAAAATTGAAACAAAAATTCAAGAGACTGTGACTGCATCAAGATGTCTAAACAAGTGCTGGAAATTTAGGAGAG